GATGGATGGATAGATGGATGGATAGATGGATGGAGGATGGATGGATTGATGGATGAGTAGATGGATGGTGGGATGAGTAGGTGAGACAAAGGATAGATGGGTGTAAGAGTAGATGGAGCAGTGGCTGGGTGGAAAAAAGAAATTGCTCCTGGAATATCAGAAGACACTGATGTCAGGAAAAGTGCTGGTATGGATTTCAGGATCCTGCCAATAACCTGTGTGAGTCTCAGTAAGTCAAAAGTCCCCTTTGAGCCCCTGCTTGGAGTAGGAAAATTTACCTTGGCGGGTCCCCTAGGTTCTGACAGCCTGTAACTCCACCACCTGGGCGCCTCCCAACCACGCTGTGCTCTTCTCGCCCCTTCCCACACACTGCCCGTGGTGACCGAGACCCCCTGCAACTCGCCCGCCTCCCTGCCGCCCGAGGCCAGGGCAGGCCAGGCCTCAGCACCGCGCAGGCTGGACGGCAGAGCCCTCCTGCCACCAGCACACCCTGCTCCGTGTGGACCAACACCAGAAATGTTCACGGCATCTGCCTGCACAAGGATCCCCCAACTCCACAGTTCTAGCCGCCCATTTTTAGATTTTGTCGACCAAACAAATTGTATTTATTACATAACACAAATTCATTTTCCAGTTTCATTAATCAGACACATAAAAGCCAGCTGAAGTGAAAACACACAGCATGACCCCCAAGTACTGAAAATAGAGGGAACGGAGAGAGGAAAGGAGGAACGGGTGGGGGTGGGGGAACACCGCCACAGCCACAGCTGCCCAGGGTCGCACAAACCAGCCTCCAGGATGCACAGGGCTCCACCTCACCACGTCCTCCCCTCACAGCTCAACGCTCTCTGCCGGCAGCTGCCCCTTTCACCCCACATGCTCCACACGGGGGCTGTGGGAGGCACGCTCTCTGCTGACCCTGGGCATCAGTCTGGCCCACACGTGCTGGCAGTGTCCCCTCCTTGGCCTCTTAAGTCCCTCTCTGTCCCCACTCCAGTCTCAGAAACAGATCTTTCTTTGGATCTGGGCCTGTTGGAAGCCGGTTCTCATTCCTGGGCTGCCCTCTGGCCTCTGGCAGAACTCAGCCCCTGGGTCCCAGATCAGAGACTCTGCCCAGAGCAGCTGGCAGGCCCAGCCAACAGCTGAGGACAGAGGTGACTCCTGCCCCCTCCTAGCAGGCAGCCTCCACAGGCCTCTCTTCCTCTGCCATCCATCAAATGCTCCTTTCTACCCAGGGACCTTCTGACACTGTCTCAGGTGACCAACCCCAGACCCCATCTAGGAGCCCTGCAATTGCCCGGAGGCCTACAGCCCCTTTCCCCAGGTTACCCTGTATCCCCCTCTCCGAGCCTCAGCTCTCCTCTACCGCCCCCTGCACGGGCCTTCACCCCAACCTAGAACAGCCCGCACACTCAGCACAGCACTCCGTGTCCTCAGACACTCAAACTTCAGCACCACCATCCTCCCTGCACCCACAGCCAGCCGACCCCCCTCCCGTCTGGCTCAGCCCTGCCACCCTCACTGCACACACGGGCGCAGCCACAGCACAGACCCTGCAGCCACTGCCGACATCACAAGCAAGACTCTGCCTCTTGGGCTATGGAACCTGCCCTCCTGGAAAGGGACCAACATCAGCCCCTCCTGGACCTGCTGGGGTGAGTGCATTCTTACATGTAAAGCACTTTAAACCACACCAGACACCTGGCCTGCTGGGCACACAGAGAACACAGACACGCTCCAGCAAACAGCTCTGCCCCCAGCCCGGCGCCGGGCGCTGGAGGGCTCCTAGTGACCCGCCCAGGCTCAGCTCAGACGCCTCCTCGGGCAGTCCGGAACTCGTGTTCGCACGCCTCCATTACGGCCACACACAAGCGCTTCTGCTGTAACCACTGTGCACGCCTGTCCCTCTCTAGGCAGAGCCAGCCCTGTGATCCTGGCTCCCTAGGCAGGGACCAGCCCACGACAAACACGTAACAAGCACGTGCTATTCTCAAACTCTGACTCCGGTCCAGACCTCCCTCCCACCCTCCCCAGCCTCAGACTCCAGTCCAAGTGCCGCTGCAGCCACACAGCTCTCAAGCCAGAACCTTCACTGCCCACCTGGGGGAGCATAGAACCTACTCCCACCCAACTCGACAGGTCTGGAGGCCCCCGTCCGCCATGCTCCACACAGGGCAGGGGTCCAGGCCACACAGGTGTGGGCCGCCCCCTTAGGAAAGTCTCAACCCAGGTTCAGGGAACACTGTGAGCCTGGCCCCAAGCTCCGTGCACAGGGACGGACAGCGCTCCCTTGGTCCAGAGATGCCACTGGTGACCACCACTCAGGAGGGGGCTCCCTCGCCCCACAGGATTCCAGGACAGAAATGATGCTCGCGTGTCTGGGTGCCTACTAGGACACCCGAGTGTTCGTTGCCAAGGATGTGCCCCAGACATGTAGCCGGCCCTGGCCTGGGGCCTTAAAAGGACTGGCCACTCCTTTCCACTGGCAGGAATACCTCAGATCCCAACACCCAGAGGGGTCCCTCCCTGGATGCCAAGGCCATCCCCGCCTGCTGCCCTCAGACCATCCTGCCCCCCCAGGCCCAACTGGCCTCGTTTCCTCTTGGCTGACCCAGGCCTCCCTGCACTGCCCACTTGGACAATCTGTTTACTTTGGAAAGACGCCTCTTTTCTCATACTGACCTCTTTACTTGTCTGCCAGCCACGCAAGAATCACACGCTCCAAGCATCCAGTATTTCTGTGAGGGCCGTGTGGGGGACACGGCCACTGGGAGGCATGTGTGTGATCCCAGACAGACGCACGTCCATGCACGCACGTCCCCACTGCTGTGAAGTGTCTGTAAGTGTGTGCAGACTGTGTGAGCGCTGTGTGTCTGTCATGCACGCAAGTGTGCGGCCACTTCGAGTGTGTGTTTGAGTTCACCCTAGTCTTTTCTCTAAATATCCACGTGTCTTCAGCTCCAGGCATGCCCAAAGGGGAGCTGGGAGGGGCAGCGTCCCTACGGAGCCGCCCAGGGGATGTGGGGTCACTCACCGTGCCTTGTGTCGTACTGTCTCATCTGGACCTCCTCCACGCAGTCGGCCGGGAACCAGCCTGTGCGGCCTTTCACAGTCCCCTCCCAGAAACCGCCCTCCCCAATGCTGAGCACTGGGGGGACAGAAGCCAGACAGGCTGTCAGGGCAGAGCAGGGCAGAGGGGACCCCCTCCACCACCACCTCAGGCTTTGGTGCTGCCCACCCACCCATTAACCGCCCCCCATCCCCTCCCCTCCCTTCCCCTCATCCTCCTGGCGTTTTCCCTGGAAAGATTTTGGGATCCACACAGAAGAGAAATGAACAGATGGGCTCAGCACAGGATGGGCATGTGGGGGACAGAGAGACACACAGATGGACACACTCGAGGGGAGACAGGACGCAGAGGCTGGGGCCACAATCCTGCTCCTGCTCTCCCAGGTGACCCCTCTCCTCCCACCCCCTAAACCTAACCCCGTCCTCGCTCAGTCGCCCACTGCCAAGAGCTCAGGGTCGCTGTGCTATGGCCAGGAGATTAGGCCACAAGCTGGACCAAGGAGGGCTGACCCTCACAACTATTTCTTCCTCAGGCACCCACAAGGATAGGACCCCAGTGATGACAGAGAACCCCATAATGAGAGGAGCCTGTCAAGGCACAACATCCCCCCAGAACAGAGGAAGCCCCAGTGACAGAAGCCCTGGTTATACACAGACACCCACATAACTGTCACAGACATCACCCACAATGGCACAGGGTCCCCACAGAGCCCAAGGATTTCCAATGAAGTCCCAGAAGTGACATAGGAACCCCTTAGTTCTAGGAAACTCTGTAATGGGACAGGGTCCTTCAAACACACAGAACCCCAGTGACAGCAGCCCCCATGACACAAAAACACCCCAATGACGAGAAGAACCTCTGTGGTGACACAGGGAACTCATGACAGAGGACTGACAGGAGCCCCATAAAGACAGACACCCCTCACCGACACAGAGCCCTTCACAGCGACACAAGGAATCCCAAGTGGCAGATGCATCCCATAATGACCACAGCGGCTCAGAGTTCCCAGGGATACCCCGAACGCCGGGGACCCCCAGGACGGCCCCGCCGCTCCGCGGTCGCCCCGGGCCCGCGCCCTCACCCTTCACGGCCTCGCCGCGGTGCAGCGGGATTTCGCCTTCGCCTTGCGGGCTGTGCGCCTTCACGGCGATGAACTTGCGGCCGGGGACGGCGCTGTAAAGTTTCCGCTTCGGGCCCCGGGGCGGCGGCGCGGGGGGCGCGGGGGG